TTTGGAGCTCAAGGGGTTAATTGCAGAACAACTTACCTCACTGGCTTTGTGTTTTTGTTGTTAGTGTAACGGTATGCTGCTGTGGTTTTCCCATGGTCCTTCATTACTGTGGACACCAAAAATATACAGAGATCTGAAACCCTTCAAGGGAGGAAGTTGGGTTTTTGCAACAAGATCTAGATGCAAAATGCTCTACAATTTATGGCAGGAACTTGTGCCAGAAGACTAAAATAACAACAATAAATTAACAAACATTTAGAGTTTGGATAATAACCTGTAATAATCTAGTAGTATATTTATAAGGTTTTGTAATTGTCCATGCTGCTAAAATCTCTTCAAATATGAGTGCTAAGGCAAATAGGTCTAAAATACTCACTAATAAACCCAGGCTGTTTCCATACCTTTTGAACATATTATACAACTTATCGTCCAATGGATAAGCAGACAATAACTCCTACAAACATAAGATTTATTATACCAATCAGATCACAGGCCTCTGTAATCTGGAATCAGACTTTTAGCAGTGACCAATACCTTTGCTCCAGGAGAGAGGTACAGTAAAACTCCAATAGTCCGGCATCCAGTAGTCCAGCACTTCTGATAGTCTGGCATCAAAATGGCAAGAGCCTAGTGAGTGAGCTTCGGCAAAAAATGAGTCACAAGGTAACAGCAGCAGCAGCTGAACTGAGGAAAAAGGGTAAAAAAGGCTTAAAAAAATGAAAACATTACAGTATACTGTATACAGTATGTACAATAAAAAGGGCTAGGAACACTTTATATACAGTATATAATGTATACAGTATATATATAACCAGCTTATAGTACCTCCTGATAGTCCGGCATATTTGATAATCCGGCACCACCTAGGTCCCATAGGTTCCAGATTATCGGAAGTCTACAGTATATGGAGAAATCCTGTAACTCCTGAATGTGCAATGCATAATATGGGGATGGAAAGGAATCTGCTCCTGATTCCCATAGTGCTGACCATTTATCTGAAGCTCAAGCTCCAAGGGTATGTCTAGACTACATCGCTCTGTCGCCAGAGGGGTGTAAATTAGACATACCGACATTGCCAAGGGCCTGGGGGTGGGGAAGCGCGGGAAGCCTCCTCCCACCCTGCGAGGAGCATGTGGCACTTTGAAGTGCCATGGGCTCTTCGCAGGGCTGGGGAAGTGTGAAGGAAGCTTCATACAGCTCCCTCACCCCCAGGCCCTGATTGGCCTGGGGGTGGGGGAGAGTGTGAAACCTCTTCCGCTCTCCCCTCCCCCCCCCATGCTCCTCCCGCTCCCCCTGCCCTGCAAGCAGCACAAGGGCGCTTCAAAGCACCACATGCTCCTGGCAGGGCAGGAGGAGGCTTTGCATGCTCCTCATCCCCAGGCCTGAAGCCTTCTCCGCTCTGCCCCCGCCCTGTAAGCAGTGTGTGGTGCTTTGAAGCGCTGCCCACTGCTCGTAGGGTGGAGGCAGAGAGGAGAAAGCTTCAGGTGCTAATTGGCCTGAGGGCAGGGGAGCAGCAGGGCCTCCGCGGGCCCAATCTACCCACTTGGAGGCCCTTTTGCCCACCCCTGGTCTAGATAATACTTAGTCCTACCATGAGTACAGAGGACTGAACTAGATGACCTCTCAAGATTCCTTCCCTCCAGTGCTATGATTCTATTCTAGTTTTTATTTGTTCCAAACTTACTGCCTTCTCCAATCTAAAAAATATGCTTTTAAAACCCATGTTTAATATCAGTCACTTAATCATGGTCCAATTCCTTCAATCATTCACTAGTTCAATTTAATTACATCTTGCCTAATAAAGCTGTTCCAGAAATTTTGGGCATTTCTCCTGCATTCACCTATTGAGTTCATCTATTAAGAATGGAATTCTCAAATGGAATACAAGATGATCCATGAGAACAACAGATTTATTATTTACGAGTCAGATTTTCAAAAGTACTCTCTAATTTTAGGTGCCTAATTGGGGTGCCCAATTTTACATGTCTATGGCGCTAATGTAGAGGCCACTTTTGAAAATATAGACCCATATAAGTTAGCCACGGAACATAAGTAATCATATATATAAATGTTTGCTTAGAAGTTATAACACACTATAGAGACCGTGTGCACCATTTTATTAACAATGCCAATAGCTGTGTATCAAGGGACAAACTGACTCCTATATTTTTAGAACACAAGGTCTCATTTTTGCTAAATGCCCAATTAATTTTTGTGTGTGTTTTCCCCTTTGTTATTATTGGACTTTAATGAAGATTCACCAAATGAAACATTTATTGTTTCAGATCTTATAAAACTTTTCTGCAAAACTTTTTGCGGCAGAATGAGCTTTAAGATACAAGAATAAAGGGTGTGGATTTAGGACTCTTTAGTGTCATCTCTAGTAGTGGGATTGTCTTTCCCTGTACATTTACAGGAGAAGACCTATCTATCCCCATGCAAGCAGATTAGAGAGGACTTGGAATGTTTTCCCCAGAAATACTTGCTGAAATCATGTTTGAGTGTCTCTGAGTCACAGATGATATAATTGTTATTTCATACATTCATATATCATGGGCCATAACTTGTGCTTCTTATCTACAGAAATTCCTACAGAAACACATGGGCCAAGCTTAAGGTTGTAAGTGGGTTCAACCCTCCTGAAATCAGTAATCCTCAGAAAGCTTTACACTACGTGTGCTGCAACCATAGACTCGGGGCATAAAAATGCTTACCATGGCATTTTCCCAATAAATAATTACCTACCGACAGGTTGATCGCCAAATGTCGTTTCAAGCCATACCATGGGTATCCCCTTTCTTTTACATTGGTGCAACTAGGAAGGATGAGCTTATGGTTACTGCTCCCATTTGGAACTCCTTCTTTAATTGGGGTTTTTCCCTGGGGCTGCTACAGGTTTCCTGAGAGAACTTAGACAAGTCACTTAATAGTTCTATGTCTCAGTTGCCTCCATCTACAAAAACATTATATAAAGATTCTCTTTGTCCATCCTTTCTATTTAATTCACAAGTTCTTAAGGGCAGGGACAATCTGCTACTGGATGTTTGTACTGTGCCCAGCAAAGTGCCTTAGTGTTGGTTGGAGTTGCTCAGTGCTAGCAAGGAACTCAGGCCTTTATTCACAATTGTGACGATGTGAAATGCCTGGGTTATACTGTATGATGAGATTACAGAATGTCTCACTTAAACACAGATGGTCCTAACATTTGGCATCGTCAAAGTACAATTTGGAACTGACACGTACAAAGCAATAAGACCATTTAAATCAAACTATGACACAAGGTAAGGGGGTCTGTTGCTGTCCATCTCTGACAGTTGCTAGTGCAGGGTGCATGGAGAAACCCACATATCATAAAAGAGCCATTGTTCCCTGCCTTCCCTATGAAGAAATGTATGCTACCAACAACAGGCCACTTTCATCAGCTGAGCTGACAAATTGATTTTCTTCTCCTGATACTTCAAACCAGCTGTTGCTTTGTGGCAAATGCACTGGATAAAAATACAAGGCGTTATGTTTCCAATGCAGACGCTATCTCTTTGGACATTATTTACAGTTCTGGATAAGAAACTGTTTTTCCTGACCCACATTCCCTGGGGAAAGTGGCTGGTCTTATTTTGAAGATGAAAATAAAGCCATGGTGTTGGTTGGGAAATAGACTCTACATACTTCTTTTTATCCTTTCATCAGCTGTAGTAAATTGTACAAAAATACCTCACATGATTACGGCCATATATGCTATCTCTTTTTGGTTATTTTAAGAATAGTAAAATAAATTGCTTCGTAAATACCTATGAGTTCTATGAACAAAGCATGTTTAACCACATCCAGGTGATCTCCACAAATATTAGACAGAGAGGAAAGCTTGTTCTCTGATTAATATGTCTGTATAAGACTGGGCAGACCTGGATTCAACTCCTTGCTCTGTCATAAAGGTGTAGTGTGCCTGTGCCTCAGCTTCCACCTGTAAAATGGGAATAATAGCACTTCCTGACCTCACAGAAGTGCAGTGAGGATGAATACATTGGAAGTTGTAAAGTGCTCGGATGCTATCATAATGGGGGCCATATAAAGTATCTCAGGTGGACATCATCTTCCATCAGTAAAGAAACTAGCAGCATCACTATTCTCAGGGCTGTTATTATGCTCACTGACTTGAAATTTCCTTAATCTCGTGTTCACAGGGGCCTTGTCTACTCTGAAGATTTTAGGGAAATCTCCCCTCACTGTGCTAGTGCTGTTGCTTTCCCAATTCTCACAGTGGTGAAAATGCTAGTGTAGACTGGCCATCAAGTCTTTACTGTACTTTTACATCCAGAACAGCTGGATGAGAGGATATAGCAATAAAACCACCAGTAGCTCTCATATCTACCATTGCTAGTGCCAGTGGATGCTCTCAGGAAATCCTCAGGGTAGTCACTATCTGGATCCAGTAAGAAAGGAAATGAATAATAACACCCCCAGTGCTGTGTTTTCTGTGAAAAGAGAGGGAGGATGGTTCTGTGGTTAACAGACAAGGTTAGCAGCGAGGCACTTGGACACCATGTGTGATAGTGTGTAGGTAGATAAATTGATTAGACAGAAGTTAGGTGGGGAGAGTTCTATTCATGGATCCACAATAAACTTCCTGTGTGTCTATAGTTTGACCTCGGTTCCTATATCAGTAAAACTCAGCTCATGATACTTTCCAGCGGGGTACATGAGGTTAATATAATTAATATTTGCATTGAGAGCCTCAGAGGGAAGTTGCTAAAAAAAAGCAAAATAATATTATGGTATTATTTATTTCTGTAGCACCCTGAAACATGGCAGACAAATGTTTAAAAGGTTTAACTTTGTAAAACCGATGCTTTGAGATCTGACCCTTAGGATAAATATTAGCAGTTCTATATTAATATTGCATGAATTGAGGTACTGAGAAAATGTTAATCTGGTACCTCCACATAACATTTCTGCAGAGTACAAGTCAGGCGAATGTTACTGCATTTGTTTTTCCTTTCTAGAATACCTTGGCAAAGGCATTGTATGACAACAAGGCTGAGTGTTCAGATGAGCTAGCCTTCCGCAAAGGAGACATCCTAACGGTTCTCGAGCAGAATGTCTTAGAGAGTGAGGGGTGGTGGAAATGTTCCCTCCATGGAAGACAAGGTCTAGCTCCTGCTAATCGTCTCCAGCTTCTGACTGATTCTCCCTCTTCTGAGCATGATTCTCAGGAATTGCCCATTGGTCAACAAAATATCTACCAGGTTCCATCAGCTCCCAAGCCTTCCACATTGTCACCTACATATGAACGGATGGACAGTTGGATTAAGCCACCTCCTTCTTCAGTTTCTTCTCCACCTACTCAAGAAATATATCAAGTGCCAGCTTTGGCTGCACAGTTACTCAGCGAAAAGACCCAAAGCCTAACCAATCAGGTAAGAGTATAAGCAAATATTAAGGTGCTAAGTGCTGGAAAATACCAGTGAGAGGTGGGAAAAGCCTGATGGCCACTACCTTTTCAGCAGACTCTTAAGGACTTGAGAATTTCAGCTGAAGATTCAGTGAAGTCAGCCAAGTAAACGGTGCTTTGTTTCAGCTACTTGAATAAATACTGGACTATATTTGTAACATTCCATTGTAAATAGTCCTATAAAACATATAGGCTACGTCTACACTGGCATGATTTTCCACAAATGCTTTTAACGGAAAAGTTTTCCGTTAAAAGCATTTGCGGAAAAGAGCGTCTAGATTGGCACGGACACTTTTCTGCAAAAGCACTTTTTGCGGAAAAGCATCCATGCCAATCTAGATGCACTTTTGCACAAAAAAGCCCCGATCGCCATTTTCGCGATCGGGGCTTTTTTGCGCAAAACAATTCTGAGCTGTCTACACTGGCCCTTTTGCCCGAATGGGAGCAGCATAGTATTTCCGCAAGAAGCACTGATTTCTTACATGAGATGGTCAGTGTTCTTGTGGAAATTCAAGTGCCCAGTGTAGACACAGCCATATAGTAATCTCTGGAACCACATCACCCACCATCACAGTAATACAGCCCATGTCCATGATAGTAAGTGGCAGCTATGTAAGTGCCCAACCACTTAAGACAGGAAGTAAAGAGGAATATAATAATGGTTTTATGATTTTGGGTAGAATATAGAATTGATTTACAGTTCCTACAAACACACACTAAAATTCATGAAGCTATAAAATTCCAGAGTTTAACCATTGATGGTTTATGCACAGACACACATTTCTTCATATTTATGGGGATTTGACACTCCTCCCAAAGATAATCCGGAAGATAATTTGTAACAATATGGTTATATATAGAACTTCTCATCCAGACTGTCATCTTCTCACTGAGTCTGCTGCAACTCTCCTCCCTTTAGTCTCTCCATGTCCCAGTTTTCCAGCAAGTTCAGACTGTTGCTACCAGTTTTCTCATGCCCCGGATCACCAACTTCTCCACTGAAGCTACATCTAGACTGCAGGCTTCTTTCAGAAGAAGCTTTTCTGGAAGAGATCTTCCAAAAAAACTTCTTCCGAAAGAGAGCGTCCACACAGCAAAAGCACAATGAAAAAGAGATCTTCTTTTTTGAAAGATGACGTCCACTCTGAATGGACGCTATCTCGTATTTAATCTGTGATTACTATGGACGGAGTGGCCACCAGGGCACCTCTGCTTTTTCCTCTTTCTTCTTCATTCGAAAGAACTCCCTCTTCCCCATCCACACATGCCTTTTACCGAAAGAGCTCTTTGGAAAAAGGCTACTTCCTCATAGAAAGAGGTTTACCAATGTCAAAACCCCCCCTCTGTTCTTTCAATTTTTTTTTTGAAAGAATGTGATAGCAATGTGAACGTAAGTGAAGTTTTTTCAGAAAAATGGCCATTTTCCCGAAAAAGCTCTGCAGTGTAGACATACCCCGAGGATACGGCTATACTAAGAAATTTTTTAGGAAGAGGAAATGCAAATGGTATTTGCATTTTCTCTTCTGATCCTTTTTTGCAGAAGAGGTTTTTGCATAAAAAAGCGCTGTCATAGCCCGAGTCCCTGTCCATTTCAGGATTCACTTCAAAATTGTCCCCTTGGTTTTAAACATGGGTTTTCAGTTTCTCAGGGAAGGACCCTCTCTTTCTCTGCTCACTCTTTCTTTAGCCTTGAATGCATGATTACCCAGTTCACATGTGGGTAATCCCACATGTGCTCAGGCACTCCAACAGCATGTAGAAGGGCCAAATATTATTTTTATTAAATGTAAATTGAGTACTATAATGTAGGCAGTTGAAAACTACAGCCATTATAACAAATAATTACCTGGAAGGTCTTTCTAATTAAAAATGAGCAGTAATAGCAGGCATTTATCCATGCCATTCACTACAGTTTATTTTACTTTATGTTTTGTTCTTGATTTCCAGAGTTTCACATGGATCATCCCCTAAGTGAAACTCATGTTATAAAGGTTAAATTATCTACATATTAAGTCATCTTATAACGGATGCAAGAGATTCATCTAATCATTTATTCTGGGCCACTGTTTCACTCCACTTACCTCCTTTAGGTATCTTCCTTTCTTTTGCATCAAAAGGCAGGATAAAGTGACTACAGTGTTGCTCTGTGTATTATCAGGTGTATTAATGGGGGGAGGGATAGCTCAGTGGTTTGCACATTGGCCTGCTAAACCCAGGGTTGTTAGTTCAATCCTTGAGGAGGGCATTTAAGGATTTGGGGCAAAAATTGTCAGGGATGGTACTTGGTCCTGCTGTGAAGGCAGGGGGCTGGACTCAACTCAATGATCCAAGGTCCCTTCTAGTTCTAGGAGATAGGCAATCTCCATAAATTTCAACAGATGCTCAATGACCAAGTGACCTTAGTGTGTCTGAGAGACTGGGGTCTGGTTTTTTTTTTCAAAATTGCACTCTGTTTTGAGTGAGATTACCATAATTGCACAATCAAAATGAGTAACTGAATATGCAGAAGAACATAATTTGCCTTCTGTACAGGCAATGAGCTGATTTATGCAACTAATCTCAAAGAATGCATACACAAATTCAGCATTTTGCGTATGCAGCCATGCCCCCTACTTTTAAAAACATCAGGCCCTGAAACTGTCACAGACCCATTTTCCACTGATTTAGAGCACAAGCTGAGAGATACATGGCCTTTCTTTCTTTCTTTCTTTCTTTCTTTCTTTCTTTCTTTCTTTCTTTCTTTCTTTCTTTCCTGCTGTCCTTCAATGCCTGCTAAGCTGCAATGCTATTGTGTTGCATCTATCTTTTCAGCAGTATCTGTTTTCTTTAACAAGGAAAGAAAAAATACTGTAAAATCTTTATGATGTTTCTAATATTTACACATTCAGGTTTGCCTGAGCTACACCTCAGTTGCTACTACAAAGGACAACTGTACCACAGGAGTTCACAGCCATCCCTACACATGCATTTGAAGGTGTAGAAGTAGACATCCCGTTTGAGTGCAGTGGTACAAACTGCAGTATCCTAGATTACCCCATGTAGATGGTATGGGACAACTGGCATATTTTCTGATATGTTCAGCTGTTCTCTCCGCAGCTGGGTGAAGCTAAATCTTTGAGAGACTCTTATTGAGAAAAATAAGCCCCTCAGAAAAAAAACTGTCTGGACTCTCCACCTACATTTTAAAGATTGTAATTGTTTTACTTCTCATGCAATAAAAATTTCTGCCATTTTTCTTAGCCTACCTGACCTTGAAAATATACAAAAGGATTTCTTTTTGGTAGCAGATCTAGTCAGAAGGTGTGATAGTCACTGATTCACATTTTACCATCCACTAGATAAGATTATCTGTGTCTGACAGTAGGTTGGAGCCAAACGAGACCCTTTTAGCTGGACCTACCTTCTTACCTAGTCTTTGCAGAAAAACAAAGTCTGTCCTAGGTCAGTTGATATAGATGGTTTTGCAAGAGAGTTGGCTTCTTTTGCAGAATAATAATGAAATTCAAGGTCATTTAATTATTTTCTTTCCTTTCTAGAAACCAACTTTTCAGTCATTCAGGTCTTTCTCAAAGATGAAACAGGTAGATAAAAAGATGGGGTTTTGTCCTACCATACACTATGAGTCACTCCATTGCTCTAAATTTGGTGGATGTGACTGAGTATGACAAGGAATACTGCCCCTCACTTTTAAATAGCATATGGTAACATAAAGCTTCAGTGGAAGCTACTTTGAGTTAGAAATTTAGAGTTGTAATGGTTTATGTCTTAACCAAATGTAGAGTCCCAAAAACATCTCATTGCTGAATAGACAAAAATTTTGGAATGAGTGAAAAATCCTTTTCCCCATGTTCATATCTATTCAGTATTCTGCTAATGTTTTAACTACACATATCCTGCACCTCCAGTCAGGGCAGTATTTTCATTCCTATCCCTCTTCAAACAATATTGCAAGTAAACAATGAAATAAATCCGTAAGGCTATGTCTACATAGCAGTGACGTTATTCTGAAATACACAGTTAGCCATGTTCAACAGATCCCACCCATGGGCCATGTGGTGAACTGAAATACACAGTTAGCCATGTTCAACGGATCCCACCCATGGGCCATGTGGTGAGCCCTGTGTAAACCCAATCCACACCGTGGGCTGCAAACAAATGGGCTGTGGGCCACATGTTGAGTAGTCCTGCCTTCATATGTCAATAATTCATCTCTGAAACAGTGAGAATACTAGTACAAAGGGGTTACAGGAAAAATAAACCTGTGGCTACGTCTACACTGCCGGTTTTTCTGGCAGTGGATATGCAAATGAGGCCCATATTAGCATATTGGTGTGCCTCATTTGCATAATTTATGCAAGTCATTTTTTCACAAAGGGGTGGTGTGCCTCATTTGCATAATTTATGCAAGTAATTTTTTCACAAAGGGGTTTTGTGGAAAAAAAAGTAGTGTGGACTTTTTTTTTGCGCAAAACCCCCATTTTCCACGAGATTCTTATGCCTCAGAGAGGCATCTTGCGAAAAATGGATCTTGCGGAAAACGGGGGTTTTGCGCAAAGGAAAAGTCCACACTACTTTTTTTTCCGCAAAAACCCTTTACACAAAACCGGCTCACATAAATTATGCAAATGAGGTACGATTATATGCTAATCTTGGCCTCATTTGCATACTCACCGCTGGCAAAACCGGCAGTGTAGACTAAGCCTGTGTGTTTAACACACAGACAACAAGCAGTTTTCAAGCATAGGGGGCAGTGAATCATAGAATACTAGAACTGGAAAGAACCCTAGGAGATCATCAAGTCTAATCTGCTGCACTCATGGCAGGAATATTTGACAGAAGCTTTTTAATTAACATCCTAAAAGGAATTCTTCCAGCAATGGCCATCAAACTCATTATTATCTCTCATAGATACCCCAAGGTCACTTCAACGTTCTCATTTCTTTCTCTTTTTTTTCTCCCTCAAGCACCTGTTTACTCTTCCCACAGCATCTCGGGCCTCCATACCAAATATAAGAAGTGAGGTTTATGATGTTCCATCACCACAACTCCGGATGGCCTTATTCACTCAGGTGAGTCCTGTCATGTCCCTGAATATGTCCATCAAGTGGGACTAAGAATTCAGGACTTCTGAGTTCCTTAACAAATGCAGCAGTTCTACTATGCACTATAAATGTAAATGATAACTTTTCTACCCTTTTTTTTTTTTTTTTTAATTCTGCAAAAAGATTGATAGAGAATGGGATCAGGAAAGTTTTAAAACCATACACATTTCACTGTCTTTTAAGATTGTCTCAGAGAGACAACCCTGTGAGTCTGTATCTTTAAAAGCAATGAGTCATCCTGTGGCACCTTGGAGATTAACAAAAATATATAGGATCATGAGCTTTCCTGGGCAAAACTCACTTCCTCAGATGAGCTGGACAAGATTGTGCAACATCCCACTGCGCCCCCTTGTGCTCATCTCCCCTCTGTACAGCACTGTTATACAATGAAGATTTCTTTCAACAGTCCAACGGATTCTAAGAACTATATCCTGCTCTAAGTCCACGCACGGAGTATCTGTTGATGCCAGTGGATATTCTGTGCATGAATTCAAGGCAGTTAAGTTTCCAGTTGGTGCTGCGATAAATAATATTTAACTCAACCTGACTTTTGTATTTGATTAGATCTATGCTACTCCACCCACAACCAGAAAGGGCTCTGTGCCGATCCTCTCCAAAGAATACTGCCAGACAGAGAAGCAACAGCTTTATGACATCCCTTCCAGCCTGGAAAAGGCAAAAATCCATGTCCAGCAAGACTCTCCAGTGGGCAGTGTAAGTGTTACTCACTGAATGGCAGAGAATAGCCTCTCATTAATACTGTGATACTCATACAGCAGAATGCATACGGCTATGCTGGGCATGCCATTGATGGGAGATGGGACACCAACATGAGAGCTAAGTGCCATCAATCTTCCAAGACATTAAAACAGCACTGCTTGAATGTTAGATTATTTAATACCATAATATCATACAAAGGGACTGTGAGGAATATCTACCCCCTCCCCCTGCACTGAGGCAGGGCCAAGTGCACTTGTTCTAGATGATCCCTGACAGGTGTTTGTCTAACCAGTTCTTTAAAAACACCAGCAATGGGATTCCACACCCTCTCTTGGTAACCTCGTCCAGATCGTCACTGTCCTTATAATCGGAAAATTTTGTGTTATAACTTTGCTGCAGATTAAGCCCATTATTCAGGGGCAACTGCTTAGGGGAGACAGAAAAGGCCACCGGCCATGTGACTGCCCCGCCCCCAGCTTGGAGAAGGGCCAGGACAACCCCCTTCCATCCCAGGCCCTGCCTCTCCCAGCCGTTGGTCTGTCTCTCCATGCACTTGCTCCATCCCCACTCTGCCTCTTCCCCTGAGTGATGCAGCCGGGGGGACTAGCGGGGAGAGTGTCTGGCCCTCCTGCATTCACTGGCAGCAGCGGAGGAAGCAGAACAATGCAGCCCCATCTCACTCTGCCCCCCTAGATGCATCGCTCCACTTCCCGCTGGTGAGCGGGGGTTGATCCTGCTCCCTCCCCTGAGTGACATGCTGGGAAAGCAGAGCGAGCTGGGGCCACATTTCTCCACTTCCCCTGCTACTGCCGGTGAGTGGGGGGAAAAGACCCCTGGTGTGGTGCCAGGCCTACTTGCTATTTCCCGAGATGCCCAGAGACTCTGGCCCTGATGGCTGCTAGCCAGCTCCTTGCCCCTCCCACCTATGGCATTTGGAGGTATGTGTCCCCTTATGCCTCTCTCATCACCTGCTAGTCCCAGGGACTCTGCTGCTGCTGGCTGCTAGTGGCCCTTTTCCCCTCCCACCCATGCCCCTCACATTGCCCTTGCAATTATTTCTTTTCCTACCTTCCATGGTAGAAAACAGTTGATCACGATCCTCTTTATAGCCACCTGTAACATATTTGAAGACTTTTTATCAAGTCCTCTACTTGGTCTTTTTTTTCTCAAGTCTAAACTTCAGGCTAAGTTGTGATGTCTCATCACTGGCCTGTTTTGAGGCTAGCATGTTGCAGCACACCGCAGTGTACATTCTGAGAGGGATTCTTCCTCAGTGTGCATCCCATTGCACAAGGAAGCCATTAGAAGTGCAATTTGCCCACACCCAGGGTATGTCTAGACTGTGGGTTTTTTCCCTGCTTTTTTTTGCAGAAGAGCAAATGTGCTCTTTTGGGGAGCCCTGTATACCTCGTTCTATGAGGAATAAGGGCTCCTCTGAAAGAAGAGGCTTTTCCACCATTTGGCCCCATCTAGACTGGGCCAAATAGCGGAAAAGCCTTTTCCGGAAAAGCAATCAGAAAAAGCTGCGCAAATTGTGAAGTGCAATTCGAGTAGCTTTTTCTGAAAAAAGGCTATAGCGTAGACCTAGCCCCTGTATACCTGGCCAGATGCATGGACCAATGAGAGGGGGAAAGTCAGAGACCCACCTCTTCCTTGCCACTTTTTGATGTACTTTGCAGTCTTGGAAACCGTGGCAAATCTCAGACCCTGCATTTGTGCCCAGGGATTACACACACCTTTTTCATCTTTCCATCATTCCCCACCACTCTTGTGAAACAAACAGGCACCATCTGGCCCAAAGTATAATATATTATTCTTACTTATTGCACCAGAATCAATCAGCATTTTTCAGATCATTAAGATCAGTTAGGCACAAGAAGCTGTTGTACCACATTGAATCAAATCACTATGCATCTCAGGAAGCCTTTGAAAATGTAAATACAGTGCAATTATTTTAGTGTGATCAGCTGTGCTTTTTTTAAATTGTCATGTGTGAGTTTGTGGCAGTTCTGCTAGTTAAGAAGCTCATGATATCTTGTTTGCTGCATTATAAAAAACTGTCTTTGATTAACATTATATTGTAGTTGATAAGCTATGGATATGACAAAAATATACTTGGCCAATATATTAGATATTTCATATTAGCAATATAATTGTGCATTTCAGAGAGGGAACAGAATTAGAACTATGTCCCGACGCTTCAACTGATGTAAACTGGTGTAGCTCCATTGACGTCAGTGGACCTATGTTGATTTGCAGAGACTCTGGATCTGAGCATATATTTCTAAATACCAGCTGTAACCGTTGTGTGCTGCTTTCCAGGTATATGATGTCCCCCCCACAACTGCTCGAGACCATGACATTTCACTACAAAATATGTCTCAAAGAAAATGTTTGGGTCATTATAATACCTTGCCAAATCCACGGAAGTCAGAATGGATTTATGATATTCCAGTATCATCTGAAAAAACAGGTTTAAAAAAAGACCCTTCTGATCATTCCCCGGAGAAGCAGGAGTTCTATGATATACCACCAGCCAGATATGGTGCTACCTTGCAAAATGTTCCATCAACAAATATCAAAAGCAAATTGGTGAGCCCACAAGTGTATGATGTCCCACCAGTACAGAGAAAATTGACCTTCCCTCATAATGATATCCCTCATTATGATGTACCATCCTCACGGGACATGCTACTTTTGCGGCAAAATGGTAATTATCATGTTCCTCCAAGCTTTCTGATTCCAAAGGTCGAGCCACAGAACTTGGTACAAAATGTTTATGATATTCCAAAAGTGCTCCCTGTGGCTTCACAGCATGGGAAAGGCACTGAGAAAAACAACTGTAGTTTTGGAAACCATACTTACAACATTCCCCCACAGCTGTCAAAAGATGCCAAATTAGAACAAGACAGATTATCAGTTTCCAGTATGGATAGCAGGACCAGCACCCTATCGACATCATCAAGCACTTCTGCTGAGTCCTCTTCTATGTCATCATCAGAAGAACCTGCTAAAGAAATTAAATTGGAGCTTGATGTAGCCATAGAGACACTGACTAAGCTACAGCACAGTGTATCCAGTTCAATTGCAAGTTTGATGATCTTTGTAAGCAGTAAGTGGAGATTCCAAGAACACCTGGAGACAAACCTCGAGGAAATCCATAGAGCAATTGATCACATAAAAGTATCTTTGGGTGAATTTTTGGACTTTGCTCAGGCCATCAAGATGAATGCTTCTTGTGCCACTGACAATAACCTTCAAACCAGAATTAATAAACAGCTGAAAATTCTTACAGACTCATTCCAGATCTTGGTACAAACAAGGAAAGCACTGAATAACTGCAACTGGTCACTGGAAGTTTTGGTCATTAAGAAACCTCAGACGAGCCCAGATGATCTTGATCGGTTTGTTATGGTTGCCCGCACAATTCCAGATGATATCAAGAGATTTGTATCTATCATCATAGCAAATGGAAAGCTTCTCTTTAGAAAGAATTGTGAGGAACAAGAGACCAAGCCACCAAACATTGGCACAGATCATAAAATGGCAAAGCAGATCTCAACACATAGAAGAATAGAACTAGATTCACTCCAAAGCAATCCTTTCAATAAACCAAACAAAATTAAATTCTCTTCTGAGAAATCAAGAGAAAATGCCATTGAAGATTGTGATTATGTTCAACTGCAGGTCAGTGTAATGTGATTTGCTACTGATTTTCTGCTTCATTTTGTTTGCAGATAGGTTTACTTGCACTATTTTAACTTGGCCTTATCACAAGCCTTGCTTTGGTTTATATTCACTTTCACCTGCTAGCCTGACTGCCTACCCCCAGGCTTTTGGAAGTGCTATTGTAACCCACACACCTAGGCTATGTCTATACTGGCAGCTTCTTGCACAAGAACATCTTGTGCAAGGGTTCTTGTGCAAGAACTTTTGCGCAAGAACACAACCACACTGCCATGTGCGAGATGTGCTTTTGTGCAAGAGCATCCATGGCAGTGTGGATGCTCTCTTGTGCAAGAAACCTCTGATGGCCATTTTAGCCATAGGGCTTTCTTCCGTAAGAAACCCCTGCCGCGCGTCCACACTGCACTCTTGCACAAGAGCTCTTGCGCAAGAGACCTTACGCCTGTAAGAAAAGAGAGTAGCCCTGCACAAGAAAACCTCTCCTACCACCGTTTACTGTAAATCTTCTTGCGCAAGAGTGGGCGGGGAGTGTGGACGCTCCGCGGAGGAACAGCCGTTCTTGCACAATAACCCGCCAGTGTAGACATAGCCCTAGTGTGGTTCACTGACCCATGCAGTGGCACTTAGACCACAACAACAGATAAGATCAAGAGACCTCTACAGCATGGGCTGGGAGCCAGCTGGCTTTTAGCTCAGAGGGTAAAGGCTCCTATACTCAGCTTCAGAGACCCCAGGTTTAAATCCGCCCTGTGGCGGTTACAAGTGGGGGCTCGTCCGAGATACCAACTGGGTCTCTGAAGCTCAGACACCTTCCTCACCTAGGGGAAATATGTAACCCACATGCATAGTGTGGTTCGCTGACCCATGCAGTGGCACTTAGACCACAACAACAGATAAGATCAAGAGACCTCTACAGCATGGGCTGGGAGCCAGCTTGCTTTTAGCTCCTATACTCAGCTTCAGAGATCCCAGGTTCAAATCCGCCCAGTGGCATTTACACTACAGGCAGTCCCCGGGTTACGTACAAGATAGGGACTGTAGGTTTGTTCTTAAATTGAATCTGTATGTAAGTC